GAACCTGACCATCCCTCTAAAGTCAGGCTGCTTTGCTTATGACCACATGTCCTAGGCTAGGTAGCTACATTTATTATTACGAAAAAAATTGATAAGCCAAAAGTTCTAGTTGAAAACTAAATAAAAGGGGAATTGTCCTCAAGAAACCACTATCAGCAGGATACATAGAAAGCTGGTTTTGGTCTCTGTTTTCTAGGTCAGTGTTGTTGCCTGGGTGACTCACTGTAGACCAGATAGCCTAACTAGAATGCAATAGTGTTTGTCACCATGGCAGTGTAAGCACAGGACCTCTGGGTACCAGGTAACTAAGAAAGGAAATCCAATTCTCCAACCAGGCTGCTGATAAGAGAAATAAAAGTGGAGCTGGAGACTGTGCTCAATATTTCAATCACACTTTTCTCTAGATCTATGACAAAACAATTCTTAATCTTCACAATCTTTTATTCATTTAAACGCCTATTAATACCTACTCCAAAAAGTGTTCCATTTCAATTCTATTGTACCCTGATCTATCCTTTAAAATCTCTATTTCTGTAAAATATGCATGGCTTTGATACTATCTAGACTAGACTCAACTATAATCTAAGCTTCTTATATTCTCCTCTCCCAAGGGAAAAAAAATGAAGAAGTACTTCTCAGTAACTTCTAAGCCAGAGATCCTCTGTATCGGAGTCAAAATAAGAAGGGCATCTTCGGATGCTATCACACACAGGTGTTTCCCTGAGTGCTGTTTCCACATTAGGACGCTGGGTTCCTTTTGGTCCGTGCACCTTCACTAGGGTTTGTATTGGAAGTCAAGGCTGAGAGTATCTTCCTGCTTTGTCCCACGGAGCTGCATGGAAGGGTCTGAGAGCAAGCACACCTGGAGCAGGTGTCCACACAGAGAGTACATCAGCGACAGGGACAGAGGAACCACACAGGTCACTATGTTGATGAGATGTTGGAAGTCTAGATACCTGCTTCCCAACAGACTGTAATGGGAATAAATGAAATAGTACTTGTGATACTCGTCTGAAGAAAGAGCGTAAAATGAATTTAAAGATATAAGCAGCTACTTTGTCAGGGAAGAAAAGAGGATGAAAGAGAGAAAGAATTGGTCCAGACTGACTTGGAGTGAAGGCTACGGTTTAAGAGCCAATCAACCTGGCAGGAACCAGAACCTCTGGGGTGTGTGTGTGTGTGTGTTTCTGATTAGAAATATGCCACAATTAGCCTTGCAAGGTGATGCAAAAGCTCTGCTGCTGACCAAGGATCAGAAAGAAAATGCATGTGTCAGTCTTTTTGGAGAGCAAACAAAATCCAGGCTTCCGTGTCAACTGTGCCACATCACCGAGTTAGGAGGGGAGGCCTCCCAGCACGAAGGATGCAACTTCAATGTTCAATTCTTCTTTTTCACTTTTCCTAGCTGGAGCCAAAACAACGCATCAGTTCTTCCAAGTACATCACTGACAATTTTCCATTTCCATGCCTAATCTCGGCCCTGAAAGACCCCCTCCCTCTTCACTCCCAGCCCCAAGAGTTATCTATCCATCGGTGCTAAAGCCAGCACCTTCTCTGAAAGCCCGCCGTGAGTCCCTCCCCCATGAACAGGATATAATCTCTCCCAACTCTGGCTGCAAAGGCTCCTAGCAGTTAACTCCCAGAAGTTAAACTATAGATTTTAATAGGTTCTATCTTGTAATACAAATATTTTTGGCTGCTTTTCACCCAGCCTAGTACATTTTATAAACTCTTGAACCCTTTTCTTGCTTTATCCATTTCTCCATCTCTGTTTGTCTAGTACAGTAAGTACGCTTTTAATGCATACTTTATGAATGAACCAGCCCTGCCCACACTTCAAACCAGCCACCATTCATTTAACATCAACAAACCTTTGTTAGTCATTTAAAGTAAGTGCAAGGAGTTGGAGGTCGTAAAGTTAGTAGGAACCAACGTGCTCATCTAAGAACCTGCAACCCAAGGGTGGAGTGAAGAAACCCACCTAATAACTGTGGCAAGCAGGCACAAGTGTGATCATAATAGGCAGGCACACCCTCGAGTACACACACGCACACACACACACACACACTCACACGCGTTTGAAAATAGGAGGGGAGAATCATTTCCATGGCGGGAGAAGTTCTCGAAAGGTTTCATAGAAGGAAAAAAATCATTTGTTGAAAGTCAGGTTTCACTAAATAGTTTATAATCATCTCATTTAATTCCCACTGAACGCTCTAAATTAAGTGTGGGATTTTTTTGTGTGTGTTTTTTTTTTGTTGTTGTTAATCCTTGCCCGAGGATATTTTTCCATTGATTTTTAGAGAGTGGGAGGGGGAGAGAGAGAAACATTGCGGTATGTGAGAGAGACTGTGGATTGAGCCTGCAACACAGGTACACACCTTTGTCTGGAATCAAACCCAGGACCCTTCAGTCTGAAGGCTGACACTCTATCCACTGAGCCAAACCAGCTAGGGCAGGTATTTTTTTAAATATATTTTTTATTGATTTCAGAGATGAAGGGAGAGGGAGAGCTAGCAACATCAATGATGAGAGAGAATCACTGGTTGGTTTGCTCCTGTACTCCCCCTGCTGGGGATCAAGCCTGAAACCCAGACATGTGCCCTGACTGGAACCGTGACCTCCTGGTTCATAGGTCGATGCTAAACCATTGAGCCACACCAGCCGGGCTAAATTAGCAACTATTTTTTACCCCCATTTTATAGATAAGGAAATTGAGGCTCAGAGAAGATAAATAATTTGGCCAAGGTCATATAGCTAGTAAATAATCAAACTGGCAATCACACTCCCAGTGGTCTGGTTCCAAAGTTCAGGCTGACTGATGTTCCTACACCCGATTTCCTCCTCCTCCTCCCTCTTCTCCTCCTCCCCTTCCCCACTTCCTCCTTCTTTCTCCCGCTCCTCCATAGGCAGATAAAAACAGTGACACCTGCGCCCCGCCTTGAGGACTACATCAGACTTCTACAGGCCTGTCTGGAGGGAGGGCAGGGGCATTCCAGGTATAGCCAACGGCTTGAAGATGGCAAAGTTTAAACCAGGGGTCCTCAAACTACGGCCCGCGGGCCACATGCAAATACAAATATTGTATTTGTTCCCGTTTTGTTTTTTTACTTCAAAATAAGATATGTGCAGTGTGCATAGGAATTTGTTCACAGTTGTTTTTTTTTTAACTATAGTCCGGCCCTCCAACGGTCTGAGGGACAGTGAACTGGTCCCCTGTTTAAAAAGTTTGAGGACCCCTGGTTTAAACCATTAGGAAAGGAGAGTCCCTTACATAACTAAGTGTAGGCCATATAAAGTGGAGAGGTTTGGGAGGAGAAAGTCAGTGGGTAATTCTCCACTTCCCCTGTGATATGCTCGGAACGTATGGTAAAGTACATACATTTCTTACCTGCTTAAGGAAATAAATATTGTAAGTAAAACATGTTGAATGTATTTGAAATTACTGTTTTATGACAATAATCTTGACCCTCAATTACAAACATCTAATAATGCAAACTATGTTGAGAGAAAGACTGACTCTCTCTACATTTCCTATTCCTCCAGCTTTCTGTCTCTATCTCTCTGTGAAGATGTTATCTAGAGACTTAAATGGTAAGATTAAAGATTAGAGACACTAAATGCCAATAGTTTTCTTAGGTAAATGACAAATGTCCTATCATGCCAACCAACACTTAAGCATGTTCAAATGAGAATTTTGAAGTTATATTACTGGACGGATTTAAATATTTTAAGAAGTGTAAAAATATTTTAAATATGGTGCCAGGTAGGTAATGGAAATATCAGGGGGAACACTTTATAAAGTATACTAGAGGCCCGGTGCATGAATTCGTGCACAGGTGGGGTCCCTAGGCCTGGTCGGCAATCAGGCTGGGCTGATCGGGGCCCAAAGGCCCAGGCGGGGTCGGGAGAGGAGTGTGGGGGTGCACTGAGAGTTTAAATTGTAGAGTCTTCAAAGTTCTCAAAGCCTCCAGCCACGGGGAATGAGGGAGGCTTTGGGCAAGGTGAGGGGTACAAGAAGGGCTGCCATACCAGTTAGCAGACTTGCAAAAACCAGGACAGGAAATCACTGACTCCCAGATGTCTCGGGTGCACTCGTCTCTTGCAGGGCTCCTGGCTCACAGTCCCTGATGACAGTGCAGGTATTGACTAATGGCCCCGATCCCAGGCACTGAGTAAGTCAGTTCTCACAATGGAAAGCTGGAGGGCTTCAACTAAATGGCACAGTGGAAATGAGGGCTACCAGAATGAAATGTCATGACCTGACTTATAATTTCCTGAACATTACATCGTAAAGAGAGAGATTTCAAAAGGCTGTTATAATCACTGTTCACAGCACAGAAAGAGATCTTGCTTTTTAGAACCAGGGAGTCTTTCCACAAGGAAAACAGTAAAGTGAAGTGCTTACTGTACTAATGTTTCAGCTTTCCCTATATATTTTAAACATTCAATTTAATTTCTCTTCCTGGAGTCAAACTTGGATGGTGTGGCAGTCCCTCCCTTCTCTCACCTCCATCCCTCCTCATCCCTCTTCCCCTCACCCCTCTCTTCCCAGTGCTCCTTTCTTACACTCTCACTTGCCTCCCCCTTCTCTCCTCCTTCATCTCTTCCCCCTCCACTCTCCTCTGGCTCTTTACTCCTTTCTCCCCATCCCCTACCCTCACTCTCTCCTCCTCTCTCTTTTCTCCCCTTCTCTTCTATTCCCCCTTCTATCTTTTCCTCTCTTTCCTCCCCCTGAAACATGTGAAAAGCCCTTTTAGTCCATCCTAGTTTATCTTGAATACTACAATCCTGGCTCACATTTTGCCTAAGATCCAGCCCAGGAACAGTGGCTGATGCAAAGCTGACTGGAACCTGACTTTTAATTTCTGAATCACATAAATTAAAGCCACTAGAATGGCAGACTGACACCTCAAAAGAGCTGGGTCTGATAACATCACAGGCGAGACCATGGGATGGGAAGGGAAGGGAAGGGAAGAAAACTGCCCCACAGTGACCACCTCAGTCTGGAAAAATGTGCCGTTCCTCCAAGACTGCCTTCTCCAGAACTCCAAGGATTCCAGAATCACTGACCAGGAGGACACCCAATCACTTGGCAGCTTGCTTAATCTTGGTGTTTACCATGAGCCTGTCAGAAAAAGTGAGCAGGCAATTATGTTAGCACCAACTGATTTTTGGTGGCCAATCTTAAAAGGGCTTCCTCCCCAACGCCAGTTTCAGATTTTTATTTTAATGACGGCCTTCACCGAAACTGCCTAGGATCCCTGCGGCAGGGATTTTGCGTATGGAAAACATGGCCCTGTATTCTGATATAGAGACCTGTTTCGTTTTTCCCTCCTGGGCTGGGGGAACTTGCAACACTTTTTCACCCTCTTTAGCTAAAGGGTGTCTGGAAGTGAGCACATGGCTCATCAGCACCACCCAGTGAGACAGGAAAGAAAGGAGAGTAGCATGGGCAGTAGCCACAGACTTGAACTCCAGTTTTGACACTTTCTGGCTCTGTAACTGTGGGCCAGCCTCAGTTGTGAGAGGGGCCAGCCTCATCTCATCTGTGAAATGGAGATAATGCCACCTACATGGCAGGGCTGCTAGGAGACTAAGGAAGGTATTCCTTATGAAATGCCTGGTACATAATAGGACCCCAATAAAAATGCTGGCCCTCCCAACCGCCCCTCCCCCCCCCATAACTTTGCTACTTTTACCTAAGAAGAATTAATTTTGATCACTCCCCGAGTTCATTTTTGGTATTCAGATAAATAGCAACCAACTACTTGTCCATAAAACGTATCTGGTGAAAGCTGCTTTTTGAATTAGTGGGTACATTTTCACATTTCTTTTTTTAGTAAAGCCTAAATATTCTTTGAATTCGGCTAATTTTAACTTGTAAGGGACAACACTTTCTTAACAGACTAGATAAGATCCATTCATTTCACAAAGCAAATTGGAGCTTTAACTATATATTAATCTAACTATATTAAGCTAACATTTATGGAGCACTTACTACTTTCCAAGTATTGGGCTAAGCACTTATATGTATTTAAATGCATTTATATCTCATGTAAACCTAACAACCCCATAAGACATCCTATAATTATCCCCATTTTACAGATGAAGAAACTAAGGCAAAGGGTAAATAACCTGGTGACACAGTAAAGGACAGCACTCAGTCACAGCCGAGAGCAGGGAGGGAGCCCCAACTTAACAGACTGCATTCGCTTTTCAAAACGGTGCTTCCTCCCATCTTTATATCACCCAGGAAACCTTCAAATATACAAATGAAGAATTCTGGCAATCTCCCCATGATCCAAATGCCCACCACTGAATCAGATTCTCAAAAACTCCTCCTTGCTGTATTTCGGAGAAGAGTCTAAAACGCATCACCATATTCCAAAAGGAAAGTGAAGATTTAATCCACTGCTTCCCTGAACTTCTCTCTGCCGGTCTTCCTTTAGTTATTTCTGTGGGTGTTTTCTGCCTCCCGGGTGTCTTAAATCACAGATATTTTATAATCATCCGATAACTGAGAATAGCCCCTCGGAAGAAACCAGCCAATGTCGCTAGTGAGTACTACGGAAGGAAGGAGAAAGACACCGCGACGCTTCCCACTCGGCTCACAAAAACTCCACGGAAGAATAAAACTAACCCCGCCGATGGCTCTCCGAAAGCTGCAAAGTGAGGCCGGGCTGGCTGCGTGGGAAACGCGGTGAACCTGCTTCCGCGCGCTCCCCTGCCCGCCCCGAGGAGGAGGAGGAGCAGTTTTCGAAGCGGGGAATGGAAGCGAATAGTTCCAGTTCCGCGTGGACGGGCTCGCAGCACCCGAGCTCCTTCAATGCCGACTGACAACTGGTTTATACGAAAGAAAGATGAAATCTAACAAGTCCAGGCAGCAGCCCCGGCAGACGGCGAGGTGGGCGCCCAGGGGTCGGCGGGGTGCGGCCGCTCGCCAGCA